CCGCGGGCCGCGCGCCAGGCAGAGGGCCCGCCCCTCCCACGGCCTCCCACGGCCTCCCACGCGTACTCGCTTGCGTCCGCTCGGCTCTTGGGGCTTCTCGTATTTCCGCTTCCTCCTCAGGTGCACATCGTCCGACTTTCGGCGCAGGATGCTCTCCGGGGGCACCTTCTTGGGGTGCTCGTCCGACCTGCGCCGCGGGGCCTCCTCGCACTCGCTCCTCCGCTTGGCCGACTCCTGGCCGTCCTTGTTGTCGCGGTTCATCTTCTGCTCCTTGAGCAGGGAGCCGGGCAGGTTGGAGGCGTACTTAAAGCCCGGGCCACGCTTTTGCTTGTAGGCCAAAAAGAGAGAAGGTACAAGCGAACTGTATATCTTTGGACGAGGGCCCCCCTCCCTGAGCTCTGAGCGCCCCACCGTGTGGGCACAGGGCGCACTGGCAAGGCCAAGGTCCGTCCCTCCCGGGCTGACCCCTGGGACTGGGAGCCCGACACTCACTTTCCCGGTCTTGCCAGCGTGGTTACACTTTGGACACTCCCAGCAGTTTGGAAGCTCGTCGTTGACTACGCCCTCTGACTCCTTAATCTGCGAGGGACAGGCCAGTCAGCAAGCAGGGAGGGCGTGGGAGAGGCCGCCCCTGCCAGGAGCATTCACACCCCCTCCCCCCACCCCAAATGCCACCTGCACCCCATCTTTGGCCAAAAGAAAACAAGAGTGGGTAAGACAGGTGACTCTGAATTCAGTCACCCGGTAGCACCTGTATGGGTGGTGCTGGGTGTGAGCAAGTCCCTGCCCTGGTGGACTTCTGATCCGGGGGAGAGAGAAGTAACCAGACAATTAAGAGGTGGCAGGTCTGACTTCCAAAGCCAGGGGAATACCACAGCATCCCCTTCAGAACAGGGAGTGTGGGTGTGTGTGGGGGGGCGGGTGAGTGTCAAAACAGACCCTGCTACAGCCACCCAAGGAAAGGGGACAACTCGGGGCTGAGGTACCATCCGGGGCAGGACCTCCCTGATCTCTTCAAAACACAGATCCACACCGGCTGACACCTGGGCTGACAGGAGGTGCCAGGTGTGTTGACATTCTCTTGGAACAGAAGCTGTGCGCCAGCCCAGAGAGGCCTCTTCCTTTCAAAGGAAGAACCTGCTGCCCAAGACGGGCAGGTACAGCATGGCGGGTGCCAGGAGGCAGCCCTGCCCTTAACTCCAAGGGCAGGCTCCCAGCACTTGGGAGCACAACCCCGTTGTTACGGGACCTGCCCACACCTGGCCAGGGTTCTGGCGAGCAGCCTGAGCACCCACCCAGAGTCTCCCTCTGGCCAGGAGTGAGGCTCTGGGAACGCTCTGGAGTTCTGAGAGGCGCGCGTCTGGGCTACTCCGGACCCTTGCTGCCCTCAGCCCATCCTCTAACGCACACAATCACCCTGTCCCCTGGACCCGGGTCCTCCGTGGGAGGAAGCCACGCTGCCCCTGCCCCTCCGAGCGTCAGCACCGCCCGATCCCTGCAGGGGCCCTCACCTTAAGGCATCCAGGGTGGATGATTTCGTTGCAGATGGAGCACTCCATGAGCATGAGGTTAAACTTGCCTTCTTCTTCCTCCACGGTGTCCTCCTTCCCCGCCTCGCCGCACACGAGGCACACGGCCGTGTGGGGCAGCACTGGCTGGAGCCGGGGAGAGCAGAGGTCAGCGGGGCCGGGGCAAGGGTGAGAGGTGGGCTGATCTAAAACGGGGAGGCCAGGGCCTCACATGTGAGGAAAGACCTGAAGGCAGTGGGGCGTGAGTCCAGACCTGTGGGGGCTGAGGCTGCGTCTCACCCGCAGGTATCAAAGCCTGGGCCACGGACTCCAGGGTCCCTGAGACCTTCACGAGGAGGTCTGGGAGGTAGGTCAAAACTCCTTTCAGAACAAAACTGAGACACTATCTGCCTTTTTCACAGCGCTGACGTTTGTGCTGCTGGGTGGTGGCACTAGTTTGGGCCAGGGATCCTAGGGCACTCACTGAGCTACCCCTGGCCACGCACTCATTAAAAAGATCACCAGGTTCATTTAAGAGTGTCTTTCATAAAGCAGTAAAAATGATTAATTTTATTAAAATGTTGACCCTTGATCCTTGACCCTTGATCCTGTCACCATTCCGTGTGACAAAGCAGGAAATATGCAAAGTGCTTCTGCCGCCTGCCCAGCGATGGTTATCTGAAGCAGAAGTGCTCACGTGACCAACTGAGGGCTCAACTGGCTGCCTTCTCCAGAACATCATCTTACTCGGAAGACCAATACTCAAAGACGTTCCTCATGAGAAAAGTGGTGTTAGCAAATGTGGTTTGGTGGTGGTTGTTTTTAAAACATAGTATAATGCTTTGCACCACTAATTCAGTGAGCCAGTATTTTCCAAATGGCTAATGTGTGATGTTACAACATCATCCATGAGCAAATGAGCTATTCCAGGGGCCAGAAAGACAAATGAAATTTAATGTAACTACGAGAGTTCACGGATACAGTTTCAGAGTCCACATTACAATTCAGCATTAAGAAACTGCCACCCGTTGAGTTCTGGAGGAGTACCAGAAAAAAAATACCCAAGACGATCCGAAATAACTATTGAAACACTTCTCCCTTTTCCAACTACGTATCTGAGTGAGGCCAGATATTCCTTATACATCGCAACAGAACGAGTATTGAAACAGATATGAAAATCCAGGTTTTTTTTCTAAAGGCTGTAACCCCCCTACTCTACCCCTGTACACGCCCGGCTCCCAGAACCTGGTACCCCGGGGATGCAGAGGAAACACACAGGGCAGTCTTTACTGAACTGAGTTAGAGGAGCTTTGGATAAACGGGGATAGATACTCTACTGTACATCCCAGTAACCAAGTCTACAAAATAGCACAAACATTGGAATTCAAATAAACAGAGCACCAAAGGTGAGAGAGTCATCATTCGTTCAACAAATACTTAACGAACATCTGCTAAAGCCTGAAGCAAGTGGCCGAGAGGGGAGCAGTGATGAGGGAGACAGCTGCTCCTCGAGGTGTTTGGGGAGATGAAGACAGATCGCGCTGAAATCCTAGGGAAACGGGGATAAGTCGTGAGCAAGGGTTACAGGAAGCAGCTGAGGCGGGTGCTGGGGGACATGCAGGGCTGGGGGGAACTTGGGCTCAGAGAGGAGAGA